TCACAACTTATTCGCTCACTGCCGGAGCAGAGAGACTTCGTCACTGAAACCATGTAGTTTTAAGTATATTAACTTATCTTGAGTTAACTGATTATAACAAATGAATGAGTTGAAAATAGATGCATTTAGAAAATAAATAAACATTCGCAGTCAGTTCCTTTTAGACTTGCCATCGAGACTGTAGAAGGATATTCTTTGGCTAAGTCTGTCAACTCCATGTAAAAACTGATTCTAATCTTTTACTATTTTCGGACAGCCAATTGTAATACGTAGATCATTTTTCAAACGACGTGAAATTGGAACTACTTCGTTGTCTTTCTGATAATTTGAAGCCAAAAAAACGTGCTTGTTGTCCATCCATAAGAAGACAATACTGTTCGATGTAATCACTGACTTGCAATCTCATTGTTACATTTTGTTTTTCTTGGCAAAATCCGACTGAATACCTGCCTAATCTGGTCTAATAGTTCCACAGGTATTTATGTTCTGTAGCTTTAGCTTTTCTAATAATCTGAAAGAAGTGAAAAAGCTATCGAAATATAGATGTTTTCATTCAAAATTATGACTAGATATAAGATCGAACACAACATGTTCGGGCGTGGGTGGGTGTAGGTGTGGGTGTGCATATGAGTGTGATTGTGGGTGTGGGTGGGTGTGATCGGGTGTGGGTGTGGCCGGATGTGGGTGTGGGTGTGACCGGATGTGGGTGGGTGTGGGTGTGGGTGTGGGTGTGGGTGTGGGTGTGGGGTGTGGGTGTGGGTGTGGGTGGGTGTGAGTGTGGGTGTGGATGTTGGTGTGAGTACATAGAGATAAGACCCTCACCCACACCCCACACCCACACCTACACCCACACCCACATTCACATCCACACCCACACCCACCCACACTCATTATGCTAACAGCTTTTTATGTACAAGCAAAATCACCTGAATTATGAATGTGGCTCACAGTTTGTTCGTGTAAATGAACGAATATATTAAGCTAATAAATTCATTTTACAGTTTGCCAAATATCTGTTATATAAGAATTTATTTTAGAATTTAAGAGTAGGTGAGAATGTCATCCAACCATGTGCTTAATTGATGGCGAAGTGTTTGAAAACGTATAATTTTGATAAGAAACCTCAGAAACATACTGCGAGTGCAAAGAAAATGTTTACGATTATTCATAAAACTAAATAGTCTATAGGTTTGAAATATTTTTCTCTTTTGGTTTACTTATGAATAATCACTGTTGCACATATAGAAAGACTTGACTACTGCATAGGTAATGATGCATTTTTCGTAGTATTTATTCAAGTATTACTACCATTGCTGTATCATATCAACCAGAAATAATATTATTTAGAGAATAAGTCGAGTAGGAAGCTTTGTAAAAGACGTGCCACTAAATCGATAAAAGAGAAACCCTTCAGGTAAACAGTAATAATGAATGAAATGTAACCTCAAAGCGTATTTTATTTAAATATTTACAATTCTTTGGAGTATTTGATAATTTTTGTTTTTTTTATTCTTGTTTATTGAAGGATCATAGAAATAACATGTGTATAAAAAGAGAGTATATAATAGTTAGAGGTCTTTTTAAAACGAATAAGCGTGAATATTACATTCTTTACAACAAAAATTCCAATTAAGGTAAGTATTAATGTTAAGATTTGCATTGAAATGTGGTACAGTGATAGTGATTTAAATGACACAAACTATCTCTTGTTAAGATTGTTAATTTCAATCGGTATAAAGTTGGACTTGATAATGAAGTAAATTGATGTTTTTCACACGTTTTAACACTTTGCCTGATGTAGGGATGAAGATGGCCGATTTCAGCGTATAGTTAAACTCATTTCGTTCAGATATTTAAGACCGCCTCTACGAAAGCAAATGATAAATAAAAACAATAATTTATTTGTATGAAATATTTTGATACGTACGTTAAGAACACAAGTGAAGCATTCAGCACGCAGTTGCTCAATTTTAAGTCTTTCACCGTAAATTTTTTGTTTCCCAAACATATCATATTAGAAGTTCTTCGAAAACCATACATAATTTTCATCATCATCTATCAAATTTTGCGTTCTAGATAAAAATTATCCATCGAGACTCTATATTCACTTGTTATTCGACGTTATAATTAGGAATACATGCCATATGAGATCTTCGGACAGAAGAGCATCACATTTTCACTTGCATGAACCGGTTAAACATGAAGTTATAGTTTAAAATAGCGACTTTCAAGCTCAAAATCAAGTATGCTCCTAAAAATGAAGTAGTGAAGGAGGATAAGGTTCCAAAGCAGAGGTAGATGTGAGTGTGCGTGCGGATGTGGGTGTGGGTGTTAACGGAAGTCTTATATCCACACCCACACCCCACGCCCACGCCCACGCCCACACCCACACCCACACCCACACCC